TTGAATTGATTTAATACACGAGTTTCACAATTTGAGTTGAATTACTGAAATAAATTAACTTTTCCACAACATTCTAATTTATTGAGATGCACCTGTATAAATCTAAAATAGTTTTCCTTAATATATACATATGTGTGTGTGTGTGTGTGTATTTATATATACACAATACGCACACATATAGTATGTAAACATAAACTTTTATTTTGAATGCGAGTAATGCAATTAATTGTTTTGCAGCCCTAAATATCTTTTTGATAACATAATTGTGTGCTTAACCTTTTTACAAAGTCATTTTTTAATTTTTTTCTACTCAATGTAATGTTTATTTTATCGTCTATTGTTAGAAAATTACAAGTTCATGGTATTAATCTGCATTTAGACAAGCCCCAAATTTGGATATCAGGGCTGCAAAATTGCAAAGCTCATATAAAATAATTTTAAGTACCACACTGACCATATAAATAATATAACATAAACAAATAAATGAACGAATAAATAATCATTCAGGCCGTGTTTTGTAGCCCATTTATGCAAATAGCTCAAACGTGTGTATGAAGTCAACTTTAATCTAAAAATCATCTTTGAGACTATATAAACCACTAACCAGCTAGGCGTTTATTTAGGAGTGAGAAGTGATTACTGGACATTTCACTATTTATGAAGCTTCTCAAACAGTGTTTCATGGCATGTGAGCAGAGACTATAAATGACACTTATTCACATTTTGTTTTACATTATGTTTAAATTGGATAGTTTGTGGCTGAATCGATCTTTTTTAAACACGCCGCACTCTCACCTCTTCCAGTTTTTTCGCGTTCCCGGTAACGAACACCACAGCTCTGCCGGTAGGTACTGCCATGCTTCAGCCTGTTTCGGTCAACATCTCACTGTCGGAACTGTAAAACACTCGGCCCCGGCACACCACAAACCAATCATATTCATTGAGCAAAAACTTCCACCAATCAGGGAACGAGTTCACTACATTCTAGACACGCCCTCCTTCACACACTGACCAATCGCTGGATGCTCAGTGCCGTCCTTCTGTAAAATCACTCCGGGTGGAAAGTGCAAAACATGTGGGAGAGCGTCACATGTCAACGACTGTAGAATAGAAATAATTTCACCAGTATTTGCCCATTAAAGGACTTCGTAAAGTAGTTTTATCGGTCTGGGAAAAAGGTTATAATTCATCGGATAAATCTGAATTGAGATTAAGTGAACAGGAGGATCTGATCCATAAGCATGAGCTTGCTGCCTCGCACCGCTGAGGAGTTCAGCTCGGCGGACTACTGGGAGCGCTTTTTCCGCAAAAGAGGAGAGAAGGCTTTCGAGTGGTACGGAGACTACAGCTCCCTCTGCGGTGTACTGCATAGATACATTAAACCTCGTGATAAGGTAACTAAGACTGTTTCTTAAGCTCCAAGTCAGCATATTAGAATAATTTCTGAAGGATCATGTGACACTGGAGTAGTGATGCTGAAAATCAGCTTTGCATCACAGGAATAAATGACATTTAAAAATATAGTAAATTAGAATTCTGTTGTTTTAAATTGTAATGATATTTCACAGTTTCTGCTTTTTTTAAAACACTTTTTTTTTGTCAAATCAGTCATTCTTGAGAAGTGGGACAAAAATAAAACCTTGTAGTACATTTATGTGCACTAAGCTACTGAGCTATGCTTTGATGCAACCTCCCAACTTTTCTCTTTTTGTAACAAAATGTGCTTTTTTACCTTGGACTGTGTAATATAATTTCAGCTTTATCTTTAACAGCATTCAAGATGTTTTTAACATTTTCAAAACACATTCTGGTGTTAGCAGACAGATTCCACTTTCACATGTGACCGACAATTCCACAACAAATATAAAATATCATAATGAAATATTATCAGAATATTCAACTGACGGAGGTGACACATCTGACGGAGGTGACGAAAACCTGAATTTGTAATAATTGTAACGATCAAATACATTGAATCAGTCAATTGCTGTATTAAAACAAACACAACAAACAGTGAGTATGTTATTGTTTATAAAGCTTTTATTCAAGAGTCACATTGAAGTATTTTGATATATCACTGGAACACAAAATCTTATGGTGGTGACATCTGACGGTG